CAGCTCAGTCCAGGCAGAAGAGCTATGCAGATCACAAGGTCCGAGATGTGGCTTTCATGGTTGGTGAGCGAGTATTGCTCCGAGTGTCGCCTATGAAGGGCGTGATGAGATTTGGAAAGAAGGGCAAGCTTAGCCCTAGGTTCATTGACCCATTTGAGATTCTCGATCGTGTAGGAGAGGTGGCTTATAGGCTTGCTTGCCGCCTAGCTTGTCAGCCGTGCATCCAGTTTTTCATGTGTCCATGCTTCGGAGGTATCACGGGGATCCAGCCCACGTGTTAGATTTCAACACTGTCCAGTTGGACAAGGATCTGTCTTATGAGGAGGAGTCGGTGGCTATTCTAGATCGGCAGGTTCGATAGTTGAGGTCGAAGAGTTTTCCTTCAGTGCGTGTTCAGTGGAGAGGTCAACCTCTTGAGGCATCGACCTGGGAGTCCGAGTATGATATGCGGAGCCGTTATCCTCATCCTTTTTTCGACTCAAGTACTTCTTTCTTTCGTCCGTTCGAGGACGAACGGTTGTTTTAGAGGTGGAGAATGTGACGACCCAAAGGGTCATCACCTGTTTTCTCATTCATTCCGTGCTTCCGAGGCCTTGAAAACCTCATTTTTAGTTGCCTCGATTTGCGTGCACAGTCCGGGCGCGTAGCCGGAAAGCTTAAATATGAATTCTGTGTGAAAAAAATGATGAATTTTGATATTAATATGATTAAAGTTGACTTTGGTCAACATTTTGGGTAAACGGACCCGGACCCGTAATTGGACGGTCCCGGAGGGTCCGTAGAAAAATATGGGACTCGGGCGTATGCCCGGAATCGAAATCCGAGGTTCCGAGCCCGAGAAATAAATTTTTAAAAGAAATTGTTTTTCTGAAATTTATCAAGGGAACTGGAAATGAAATTTGATTAAAAGACTGTGGTATCGGGCCCGCATTTTTGGTTCCGGTGCCCGGTACAAGTCTTATATATGGCTTAAACGCTTTCTGTAAAGTTTGGTTGAATTCGGACGTCGTTTGACGTGTTTCGGACTTAAAATGGAAGAAAAATTGATGTTTTATGAAAATTGGGAAGAATTCATGAGTTTTGAGGCTTGATCCGTTGTTTTTGATGTATTTTGGCAATTTCATCGCACGGGTAAGTCCGTAGGGTATTTTTGGAGTTATGTGTATGTTCGGTTTGGAGCCCCGAAGGCTCGGGTGAGTTTTGAGTAGGCCCCGGGAGGTCTTAGACTTAGAAATAGCATATGTTGCAGGTTCAGGGAGTTGCAGGCTCCAGCGCGCCCGCGGTCGCCTTAGCGCGGTCCGTGGTGCGTGCTGCACGGACGCGGTCGCCTTAGTGCGGTCCCCGGTGGAAGCTACGCGGCCGCGGTCGTCCATGCGCGGTCCGCGTAGCTAACTTCAGAGAGCCAACATTTCCCAGAACTACCAGCGCGGCCGCGTTCCCCTTTGTGCGGTCCGCGCTGGAGAGTTCAGAGAGTGGTGTGTGTACAGTTCTTCAGCGCGGCCGCGGTCCATTTTTGCGCGGTTCGCGCTGGGTCTTCAGAGGGTATATAAGGTCGGGAATTTCAGTCATTTTTCACTTTTTTCAAAACCCAAAACATAAGAGGCGATTTTCCAAACGATTCTTCTTCTCCTAAACGATTGGCAAGTGATTTCTAACTCATTTTCTTTACTCCTTAGCATCTTTAAACATAACTTCAACTTAAAAACAAAGATTTTAATGGGGAAATTTTGGTAGAACCTAGGTTTTCTAAAATTGGGGGTTTTGGACCTCAATTCGAGGTCCGATTCCAAAATAAATTATATATCTGAGTTCATGGAAGAATGGGTAATCGGATTTCGGTTCGAACCTCGGGTTTTGACCATATTGGCCCGGGGGCATTTTTGACCTTTGGGGTAAATGGATGCAAAAGCTATAATTAGACATTGGGTTCGATTTGTTTAGCACATATTGATAACGTGAAGTCATTATTGCGTAGATTTGATTGAGTTGGAGCCGAATTCGAGAGAGAAAGCGGTTGTTGAGGATTGAATTGGCCGTGGAGTTGAGGTAAGTATTTGGTTTAACCCTAGCTTGAGGGAATAGGAGTTGAGTCTTGTTTGCTATTTGCTAATTGATCGAGTACGATGTATAGGCATGGTGACGAGTATCTATACATTAGTGTCTAGCATGACCGTGAGTCCTTATAGGGTAATTATCATGATTTTGTTGTGGATTTCATGTTAATTGAGGACTTCTATATATTGTAAAGAACATGTGAAAAACATTATGATCATTTGATTTTCGTGGTGTAGTGGCTTGGTTGTAATACGAATTGAAAAGATATCTGAGATTATAAGATTCTTGGGAGCATTAAGTGATATAGTGAGATGTGAAGTAAGATATGAAGGAAAGCTAGTGAGTTATTGGTTATTCCCTTGCCGGGATGTTTTGCTGTTTGGTAGACTTTTTCTCCCTTGCCGGGATATTGAAATTATTGTTATTGTTCCCTTGCCGGGATTCCTATTTTGTTTGTTTATTCCCTCGCCCCATTGTTGGTGATTGTTGTTTGGGTGAGGACGAGTGATAAAGCACGAAGGGTAATGCCGTGCACGATTGTGATATGAATACTAATGCACGAAGGAACATTCTGTGCCATGATATGATTACTAATGCACGAAGGAACATTTCGTGCCATGATATGATTACTATTGGACGAAGGAACATTCCGCGCCATGATATGAGTGTTTATGCACGAAGGATCATTCCGTGCCATCATTGTGAAGTAAAGCACGAAAGGTGATGCCGTGCACTTTATACGATTGTTTGGGTGAGAATGAGAGTAAAAGCACGAAGGATGGTGTCGTGCAACTGTTGATTTCCTACTTTCGTTGATATTGTAGTTGTACTGTTTCCTTCCTTAATTATTGATTTTTATACCTGAATTGTTACAGCCCCTACAGCATGCTCCCCCTCCCCCTTGACTGGTTAATTTCTGTAAACCTTTATATTGCATACATATATATATTGAACTGCACAGGTTTGTTTGGTAGTCCGGTCTAGCCTCGTCACTACTTCGTCGGGGTTTGGCCAGGCACTTACCAGCACATGGGGTCGGTTGTGCTGATGCTACACTCTGTGCATCTTTTTGCACAGATCACGATGCCGGAGCAGCTTTTGGACAGCAATAGTAGATTTGGGAGCTGACTTCAGTCCAGAGACACCGAGGTAGCCTTGCTGACGTCCGCAGGCCCGGAGTTTCTTCTATCTTTACTTTAGTTGGTTATCCTTTGTACCGGAACAAACAAAACTATATTTTTATTCAAACATTGCATTTAGCATTCTCTAGACGTTCGTGAGTTTGTGACTCCAGTCCTTGGGTAGAGTTGTATTGAACTTCCGCATTGCTTTCAGTTTATTTATACTTAAGACTTTCGCTTTTCTATTAATTGTTTCGTTGTTTTTATTAATGTCGAGGTTTGCTAAAAGAGATAATAACAAATTGGCTTGCTTAGCTCCTAACAGTAGGCGCCATCACGACTCCCGAGGGTGAAAAATCCGGGTCGTGACATTTTGGCTACAAATTGGAAGAGTTCTGTGAATTGACGCCCTAAATAAACGCCCAGAAAATTAGGACTTACGCCTAAGTTAACATGCGAAAGGTTGAAATTTACATTCACAGACACTTGTGCCTCGTTAAGTGCACTTCGGTGTGTTTTTAGTATGCCTCACCCCAGAGCTTGCCCCGAAACTCGCCCCTAAAATGCCTTTTGATAAACTGGTTGTACTCTACTTGTTAAAATATTCAAAGTGCGCATAAACTAATCTAGACATATTTTTTGTTATGAAAACCCAAAAAAAGTAGATTACTTATTGGTAAAATGACTTAGAGGGTGTTTGGATTGACTTTTAAGCTGTACAAATCTGCTTTTAAGCTCTTTTTAGCTTTTTTCAGTGTTTGGGGAAGTCAGAAAAGTGCTTAAAATAAGTTAAAAACTGCTTAAAACAAGCCAAAAGCAATAAGCTGGACAACCCCAACTTATTGCTTTTTGGCTTAAAAGCTATTTCTGCTGAAAAGCCACTTTTTTTAAGCCAATCCAAACGGGCTCTTATACTAATAGTAGTAGAACGTTGAAAAATAAATACTAATACTAGTAGAATATTAGATGGTTGCATAGCGTGTTTTGTTACTAATTTTAAATATTAAACGTTGAGAATAACGTTGGAAAAAGATGTGAACAAGTTAAGGTAATCACACAACACAAAATATATTTCAATACAAGAACATCTGGACTGCATTTGGGTTTGGGTTAGTGAAAATAGAGTAGATTGGTAATCAAAAATAGCTAGCTACAAAGTAATTAAAATATAGCGAGCTACAAAGCAATTAAAAAATAATCATTAATGTAAAGATAAAATTTGAACAGAATACCATTAGCTGAAACACCGAAAAAAATTCAGCATAATATGCTGGATTATGAAACGAATGCGTATAAAACTCCCACATTAATTTCAGCATATTGTACTGGCATTCTAGGAAAAAATGCTAAAACTCAAACAAGATACGATCCTATAATTCTAATTTCAGCTTTCGCTGAAGTTCAAAGAAAGCGGAAAAGATAAAAGAGTGAGTCTTTGCACCCCTTTAAGTTGGCCATCCTTGTCCAAATACTACTCCCACATAAAAAATGGCTAAATCTTGGAGTAATTGATCTTGAAACTAATTTTTAATTAACAGTTATAAATCAAGCTAATCCTAATTTCTTCCTTAACTTACTTAGCGGGTTTTTGTCAAAATTAATAATTATATTATATCATCAGTCCCTTACCTTTTTTGGTACATTCATCAGTCTCTTATTACTTTACTGTTCAAAAATTATCTCTTCGTAGAATCTTATTCTAGAAAGAAGAGTAATGAAAACAAAAAAGGAAAAAATAAAACATTTATGAAACACCACGTTGAATGTTCTATTCCAGTTGACTTGACCCTGTGTATAAAAAGAAAAAGAAAAGAAAAAAAGATGGACGGTAAATCACTTTATCTTCCATAAAAAGTTCAATGGTCGAGCCCGAATGATGAAAGAGAAGTTTTGAGAGACAAAGACTAATAGTAGAGAAGAGTTTGACAATGCCAAAGCTGTGCGTTGGCTACTGCCCGGCTTTGTATTTATATTAGCAAGTTACAATAGAGATAACAACAAATATATACAAAACGTGTACAACTATACTAGGTTGTTATGCATATCTAGAGTCCTACAACTTTACAACATTATCACATCCTAACACCCTCCCTCAAGCTGAAGGGGAGGAACGAACACAAAGCTTGGTTAGGAGCTCGTGGAACCTAGCAGATGGCAGAACTTTGGTAAACAAGTCAGCAAGTTGATGAGAAGTGGAAACATGAGAAACAAGCAAGTCTCCTAGGTTGACCTTTTCACGAACAAAATGATAATCCAGTGCTACATGCTTAGATCGAGAGTGGAAAACCGGGTTGTGCGCAAGATGAATAGCTCCAACATTATCACATTTAGCCATTACTGGTGAGCAAAGAGGAACATGAAGATCACGTAAGAGATACTGAAGCCAAGTAACTTCAGCAACTGCAACGGCAAGAGCTCGATATTCTGCCTCGGTGCTAGAGCGAGCCACTGTAGGTTGCTTCTTAGCTGACCAAGAAATAAGATTATCGCCAAGAAAAATACAAAAACCAGTAGTTGATCTACGTGTCGCAAAGCAACCAGCCCAATCGGAATCGGAATACACTTTAAGAGAGAGAGAGAGAGGTATTTCTGGTAAGTTGCAACCCCCAATCAGCAGTACCTCCAATATACCGAAATATTCTTTTGACAGCTTGCATATGAACCTCCCTAGGATTATGAAGAAACTGAGAAGCAAGATTAACAGCAAATTGAATATCAGGCCGAGTAAATGATAAATACTGGAGAGATCCTACCATTTGACGATAAACTGATGGATCACTTAGGAGAGCCGAAGTAGAAGAGTGCCAATCAAGCTTGCTTTGCAGAGGAGTTAGAACTGGTTTGGATTTATCCAATCCAAATCGATGAAGAATATCATTGACATAGCGATGCTGGGATAAGAACAGACCAGAGGAATTTTTAACTAGCTTGACGCCGAGAAAATAACTTAAAGGACCAAGGTCTTTCATAGAAAATTCATGTTGCATGGCTGAGATGAAAGAATCAATTAACTGTTGAGAGGAACCAAAAATGGCTATGTCATCCACATATATAAGAAGAACAAGCGACTCGGACCCCAAATAGAGAACAAACATACTGTTATCTGACTGTGATTGCTTGAATCCAAGATCTGCCAAGAAAGAGGTAAGGCGATGAAACCAAGCTCTTGGTGACTGTTTAAGACCATATAAAGCGTGCCGAAGCTTACAAACATGATGTGGGTAATCGGTGTTCTCAAACCTTTTAGGCTGACGCATATATACAGTCTCTGTTAATTCTCCATGTAGAAAAGCGTTTGACACGTCCAGTTGGTGCATGATCCAATTACGTTGAAGAGCTAAAGCAAGAACTAATCGCACAGTACTTAACTTGACCACAGGAGCAAATGTTTCAGAAAAATCAACCCCCAGCTGTTGAGAATAGCCTTGAGCGACTAGGCGGGCTTTATAACGATCTACTGAGCCATCTGAACCATACTTTATACGGAAAACCCACTTGCTACTAGGGGTGTGCATTCGAATCGGTTTATCGATAAATCGAATCGATTATTTGTTATCGAAATCGAAATCGAAAAAATCGAAACCTTATTGAAACGATAACGATAAGCATATGTACAAATCGATAATCGATAAGTAATTATCGATAAGGGTCAAAATCGAATCGATAAATCGAATGCACACCCCTAGACTGTAGACACTTGTTAAATGAGTAATTACCTATTTGTGTAGATTAATATAACATACAGAATGTATATATATTCCGCTACTATTTTGAAAGCGGCTATACAATATTATTTTCCCTAATCTATACCCTTTCCTTTACCCTAAGTCCCTTACCCTATTATTTCCTCTACCACAATTAAGGAATGATCATATTTAAAGATCAAGGGAATGAAGTTCAAACTAATGGAAAACAGAATTAGCCGTGATGATGTGTTTTGTTTTGTTTTATTTTTTTTATACCGTTGGAGTGTTGGTGGCATACATTTGATCCCTTACTTTAGTTTTGTTGCATGTGCTTGTTGACACAATTTTTATATTATAAATGGTGTTCGTCTTATTTTAGCTTCTTTTTGTCCATATTAGTTAGGCGCGTTTATAGCGATATACTTTCCGTGGAATCCCGCAAATTTTCTTATTGGTGTAATCGATAACCGAATCGATAAGCCCCCAAAATCGATAAATCGAAATCGAAAAAATCGAAACCTTATTGAAACGATAACGATAAGCATATGTACAAATCGATAATCGATAAGTAATTATCTATAAGGGTCAAAATCGAATCGATAAATCGAATGCACACCCCTACTTGCTACCAATAATATTAGCATTAGAAGGAGGTGAAACTAAGGACCATGTGTTAGTCTGAATAAGTGCATCAAATTCTTCACTCATAGCCTTAAGCCACTGAGGATCCTTGGCAGCTTGATTGTATGAGGTGGGTTCAGATAAGAGGGAGGAAGAGGTAGAAGCAGATAAAGACGGAAGGATACGAGGTTTAAGTTTGCCCGTCATCGCGCGGGTGACCATTGGATGAACATGAGAATGCTTAGATGTATTGATTTGGGATGGTTGTGAGGGTGAAGAATGCGTTGAAATATTATCCGATAAATCAAGAGATTGAGAGGGAGAGGTGGGGTACCATGAGTTGTATTAGATTTTAATGACAAAATATGAGAATCTTGAGGAAGAGTACTTGGAGCTTCAGTAGCCTATGTGGGGGATAAATTTAAAGCATGTGGAGATAAGTTGGTTCGGATGAAATGAGTTGGAGCACCACCTGGAATATTGCTTGAAGATGAGGTTGGACTTTTATCAAACAAACGGCTTGAAGTTGGGGAAGATAATGCCGAGATACACGGCATTTGAGATGGTTTCGGACTCAAGGAGGCATGATTTTGTGGAGTGGAGAGAGTTTTAGTCAAGGAAGGAGGTAGAGATTCACTAGGAGACTCTTGAATTTTGGAAGGAGAATTCTTCGGTGAAGTAGGGAACATTGTAGGATAAGGAAAAACATCTTCAACAAAATGCACATGCCTAGAGATTAAAACTCTATTATCAACAGGAGCAAGACATTTAAATCCCTTATGCCTATCAGAAGTCCCTAGAAACAAACAAGGTGTGGATCTTGGATGAAATTTAGATTTATTGTGTGCAACATATGGATAACAAAGACTCCCAAAAGTTCGAACGGATGAATAGTTAGGAACCCGACCAAACAGTAATTCATAAGGAGAAAGAAAATGTAAAATTGGTAAAGGAGTAATGTTAATAAGAAAAGTGGCATATAAACATGCATCTGCCCAAAACTGAAAGGGCATGTTGGCTTGAAAAAGAAGGCAGCGTAGAACATTAGCAACGTGCCGATGTTTTCTTCCAGCTCTTCCATTTTGAGCAGAAGTGTAGGGACAAGAAATGCGATGAACAATTCCATGCTGCTTTAAAAAGAATCGAAAAGCAAGGTTGTCATATTCTTTGCCATCATCAGATTGAAAGAAAGAAACGGATGCACCAAAGATATTCTTAATCATGTTATAAAATTCCTTGAATTTGTCATAGACCTCGGATTTTTCACGCAATAAATAAATCCAAGAAAATCTTGTATAGTCGTCAAGGAATAAAACATAATATCGATACCCAGAATGTGAGGCCAGAGGTGCTTGCCATACATCAGAGTGTACTAAATAAAATGGAGCACTAGACTTATTATTAGACAACATGTTTGTTTGCCCAAATAGCAAAAATTACATTTATTGTTGCCAAAAGAAGAAGAACAACTAATTAATTTCCTATTAACTAAAGAAGCAAGAGATGGGCTGCCAGGATGTCCCAAGCGTTGGTGCCAAAGAGAAGCAGGTGAAACTGAAGCTGATAGGCCGACTTTCGAAATATTGGTTGAAGCAACAGAGAGTGGATAAAGAGCGCCAATATTGTCACAGTGGAGCAACGTCGTGTTGTTCTTCATGTCCTTTACAAAAAAACCAGAGTCCGTGAATTCGATGAGACAATCATTATCCCGACACAAACGTTGTATAGACAAAAGATTTTTGGCAAGTAATGGAACATATAAAATATTTTTTAAACGAAGAGGTTTGGAAATAGTAGGCAGAATAGAAGATCCAACAGAAGAGATAGGGAGAAGATGACCACTACCAACCATAACCTTAGAAGATCCAGTATATGGGGTAGACGAGGAGAGAACTGAAGGGTCATTCGTCATGTGCGCGGATGCACCAGAATCTGGGTACCAAATTGTAGGTTGCACCTCTTCCACATTCATTGCAGCAAAGGATTTGGGAATATTATTTGCAGCAAAAGAGTGGTTGAATCGATTTCTACACTCCAAGGCAGTATGGTTGAAGCGAAAACAAATTTGACATTGGCTTGTCGGAGTAAAAGGTGGTCGTCCCAAAATACCACCAGCAGAGGAAGGAGGTGGACGAGAATGAAGTTGATAGCCAGACCAATTTGGAGAAAATGATTGTTGGTTAGAGTGATTTGAGAATCCTCTGCCCTTGCTATGATTTCCTTTAAAGTTCTTTCCTCGACCTCGTCCAAAGGAGCCACCTTTTTCAGTAGAAGCGTGTGAAGTAAATTGATCTTTAGTAGATGCAAGTAAGGCAGTTTGTGCACTATGATCTTCAGTTGGATTTGCATTAATGTGAGCCTCTTCTGTGAGTAGGAGAGGACGCAAAGAGATAAAGGATGGAAGAGTTCCTGTGGCATTTAATCCGGAAACGAAAGTGCGATAAGAGGGAGGCAGCCCTTGTAGAGCTTGAGTGACTAGATCTCCGTCTGTGATAGGTTTTCCGATTGCACGCAAAGAGCAGGCAATTGAATGTAATTGTTGAAGATAATCTTCCATGGAAAGAGATCCTTTCCTGAAATTTTGGAATTTTGACTTAAGATGAATAGCAGAGGAAGATACTTGATCCAAGTACAATGAGGTTAAAGTATCCCACGCCTCTTTAGAAGTCTCACAGGCATAGTTTAATAAGGTATCAAGTACCGAGGGTGATAATGTTGCATTAATCCAGCTTAATGCAATTGTATCACATTGAACCCATAGTTGATATTCCTCATGAGTTGATTCAGGACATGGAATAGATCCATCAATAAGAGAAAGAAGATTGTGACTTTTGAATACAGTTGAAAGAACTTTCTTCCATGTGAGATAGTTAACATAAGTTAACTCTATTGGAACAAAACCTTTGATGTTTGAAATAGTTGGAGGTGGAACTGGTAGACCAAGAGAAGAAACAAAGGTCGTTTTCATGGAGGAGGAAGCCGTGGTGTCGCCTTGCTCTGATACCATGATGAAAGAGAAGTTTTGAGAGACAAAGACTAATAGTAGAGAAGAGTTTGACAATGCCAAAGCTGAGCGTTGGCTGCTGCCTGGCTTTGTATTTATATTAGCAAGTTACAATGGAGATAACAACAAATATATACAAAACGTGTACAACTATACTAGGTTGTTATGCATATCTAGAGTCCTACAACTTTACAACATTATCACATCCTAACACCGAAACAATGTTTTAAAAGGCGGGGCGGGAGGCGAGGCATTTTACCTCTGACGAGGCGAGGCGTAAGTCCTGAGATATGGGGTGTAAGTCCCACGGATCTTTAAATTTTACTAATTTCAAGAATTTTAAGATAGTAAAAAATAAAAAATAATTATAAAAATTACATCAAAATCACAAAATTATAACAAATAATCTATTTAAAATATTTATAAATTATAATTCGACTATGAATAATACGAAAAGTATGACATAATATCATAATATGCAAATTAGTTGCAACGTCGCTACAACTCAAACATCAAAAGTAATGTATTCGATATGAAATCTTATATGTATCTCTTAAGGAGTAATAAATCTTGAAAGAATTTTAATATTATAATTTGATATTTTACTTATAATACTCCTTTTATTTAATATGATTTCTATTTGAAAGAGAATTTATCTAAAAATATAATTCACAATTTGATTCTCTTTTTTTTTAAGTTTTAACAAGTTAATAAACTGACACATAATTCATCATACAATATCATGATAACTAATTATTTGTAAATAGTTACTAGCTAATATTGAGATATTAAATTAATAAGTACTGTATCTTGTAAACGTGAAAAAAAAATATTTAGAAAAATAATTATAAAAAAAATTATGGACTATTATATAGTAAAGACATAACAAAAGTTAATAAATAAATACTTTCGAAAAGAAAGATTTATTCAAAATTTACTATCATAGCAGTCTTAGTGGATAACATGCAATAACTTATTTTAATGATGACATAAAATACTATCAACTTAATGATTTATGATTAAGAAAAAAGTAATTTTGAATAGTCAACGATTTGGTAAGAAAATTTGAGGATTTACAAGTTTAGTTACATACAATTGCATAAGTTCTATCAGGCGAGCCCAGTACCCTGGACATTGGGTGTGTCCGGGGCGTAAGCCCCGGTGGCCGAGGCGTAAGTCTCACGGAACTAAGCCCCACACATAAGCCCAGGGGCGTTTTACGAGTGCACTGAATCCCAATTCTACCTTTTAAAACAGAGGCCCGAAAAATAAAAATCTTATAATAAGGAGTATTTTACCTCCTTAATGGATTTATCCGAATCTAATCAAAATTAATGCCAAAAAATAATTGCTTGGCAAGTTTCAAATATCGAGTGCTTAAAGAAAACAATTGCCTTGCGAGTTTCAAAAACTGGAAGCTTAAAGAAAAGCAGTTCTATCAGTTAAATTAGATTAGATAAGTCATCAATTATCACCAAAATCCCCAAAATTGTTTAACCCTAGACCTAATTTTACCTTTTCTTCCTCCTCAAACCCCCCTCTCCCAAAATCCCAAAAAAATAATCTACACATATGCAATTTAGAAAGAAATACTTAGCTTCTGAATTTGATGTTTCACAACAGCACAAGATAATTTGCTACACAAATCCTGTCAGGTCATGAAACCAGAAGTAATTACATATTCAAAATCAAGCACATATATAAGCCGCCTTGTAACTGATGAATTCAGACAAAAAAGGTCCTCTATATTGGCTGTCTCTCTTCTTTCACAAGTACTGAAAAAAATATCTTACACCTTTTTACTAATTAACTAACAAGTTTAAGAATAAAGTAAAAGCGACAAGCGTGCTTCATAATACTCTTAAATACTTGCTTTATAGCCTGAACAGATATGTGAACTTCAACTGTCAAAACAACTTCACTTCAAAATTAAATGCAAATGAAAAGAGAAACAATTTTACATATTTTTTAAGGAAACTAGGCTTCTGTTGCTAACCTGAAGTTTTGCCTGGAAATGTACTGGACCATAGTAGTTTGATTGGTAGACCAAAGCTAATAGGAGCTGCTTCAGGTGTGCTTAATAAAAAGCACTTACATAAGCCTTCAGTTTATCAATATGTATTCCTACTCTGCAAAAGAGAGGGCGGACGAAGAATTGAATCAGATATGTCCTGTTGGTAAAACACAGGAGCTGCTATTAATTGAAGCATGAAGAAAATAATCTTGAGAGGACCTTACTAGGCTGAAAATAGATCAAACCAAACATAAACCACCCCCTTGGATAGCTACTGAAAACAACATCAGAAATGTATTTTCCCAGTTTTATATAATCCTCTTTCCTCAACCTGTGTTGGAGAACACAAAAATTAAAAGCAAAATGCAAGAACAAATATTAAAACAATTAACTATCATATTATCCACCTCATAAACACTTCACCTAGTGTTTTCCAGGGAACAAAATCTTAATTTAGAACAATCAGATTGAGGGAAATAATTTGTAAGATTTATATTGATTAAAAGGTAATTTTGAATACAAGACGCACCTGTTTATATATATCCACCTATATACATATGGTATTTGTCAAATGTGAACAATCTGATATTACGAACTTAACAGTTCTAATATTCTGATCTAACATCCTAACACGATTAATCCTCCATCCAGTACCCTAGAGATATTCCTGCAACAGTCATAATCCCGTCTCCTCAAGTTTCTTCTTCCATTTCATCAAGTTCTTCAGACCCACATTTTCCATTTCTACTGTAGTTCTCCAACTTTTTCATACCCTGCTGAGAAGATGCCTCGCTCCTTGAGCAATCTTTTAATCTCTTCTGCTCTTTCAACATCTCCATTCGACTGCAAGTAATCAATGCACGGAGCCCAACTGTCAATATTTGGTTTCCGCAGTGGCATACTCGCCAAGATTGCTTTCTTCAATGTTTCAACTGCCTTCTCCATCTGATTGTGTGAATAATATCCGCCTGCCAGACGATCCCATGTCCTATAGTTTGGCCTCTTCCCATTCTCCAAGAGTCTTTCTATAATAGATTCAGCCTTTCCCAATTGACCCTTCCTACAGTAAAGGGCTATGAGCAAATTTGGAATTCTAGCGTCAAAATATACCTCTTTCGCTTCCCACTCGGCAAATATCTTCTCTGCACCATCAATATCATCTAACTTTTCCAGTCCACTTATCATGGAAACATAACTTGAACTGTAGACCTTACCTCTATTCTTTAATTTATTCCATATACGATAGACATCATTCTTCTTACCCATACTAGCATAGAGGGAAAGAATGCTTTCATTAGCAAGCCTTGCATTTTTCCCCTTACTTAGGTGCTCACATTTTTTCAATACCTCTGAAGCCTTTTCTACATCCCCAGCTTTAATGTAGCCATTGGCAACGACTGCATAAGCATTCCAATCAATCAGCAAAGAATTCTCTTCCATCTTAATCAAAAGTTTCTCCATCTCCTTTACATCAGGAACAGATGCATATGCATTTAGGCGGATAGTATAGGAGATTACATTACCAGCAATTCCCTTATCTTCCATCTCTTGCACTAACGAGTGTAGTTTCTCAAGGTCTCTCATTTTAGCATAGAGGTTCATCATAACATTGTAAGCCAGTAGATTAGCATCCCCCATATCCCTCATCTTTTGCATTGTACCTTCTGCTTTTATCGATGATTTTGCATCAGCATAGCAGTTCAAAAGAGCACCATATACATAAGAAGATCTCAGATTATCTGGAATGCTAGCGAAATACTCCTCTGCTGCTTCCAGACCATGAGCTTTTGATATCAAATCCACTCGGACTGCCACATCTCCAGGTGTTATATGAAGATGCTTCGAGTTGTCCATCCATTCATAAATCTGACACAGAAATAAGAAGCAGAAAATGAATCTCTGACTCAAAATAGAAACAAGGGGGGGAAACAAAAAGTTCTGCTGGAACTTAGACCAACATGGCACTTAAATTTTGAAGTGAGTGCAGCCGTGGCTGATCAACTCTAGTTGTTCAATCCTCAGTTGCATGCTTGAATTTTACTTTCCTTCTTAAAGTATTATTTTATGTTGCATAGTTTGCTTCAGATTATTAAGAATGTCTTTACATTAGTGTCAATGAATTTCATTGCCAAGGCATTATTGAGTCAATGATCATGAAGTAAACACTCATTGCTCGTTTGGTATGAGTGATAAGGGATAATTAATCTCGGGATTAAATTTGGGATGAGTTTATCCCACGTTTGGTTGGACTAAAATTACGGTACACCTAATCGCGGAATTAGTTATCCCAGGATTGTAGTGTTATTTTTATCCCTATGGGAGGGTGGGGTAACAATCCCGGGATAACTAATCCCGAGCTAATTAATTCTGGGATAACTTGTTTCCCAACCAAATGACCCCTAAGTGTTTGGACTACTTTTAGTTCACTTCACAAGCAGATCTTAAATATTGGGGATCTTTTTCATCTTTTCAGCTGACTGCTGGGATAAACTTATGCCTAATAAGATAAAACTGTTATGTCAGAAAATTTTACCCTTTTTCTGGTGTTAAATATTCAAAAGAATCATATCAGTGTAAAAAGCTAAGCCAATATATTAAATATTATCCTAAGATTTGTCTCATACAGAAAACTTGTGCAGCTCTTGTTTTATTATGTTGGTTTAGCCATTTAGTTAAGACAGAAATATGGTTCGTCTCAAAGATATCTGTCACTCCAGGAGACAGGTGGCAGCAAGAGGTTGGTTGGTGTCTGTCTCTACACCAAGATCAGCCAAGGCATGGGAAAAAGAATTAAAACAACCCAAGCAACCAAATACCAATCATTTTCTCCTTCGACACAAATTATTAGCGCTTTGAAAAAAAAAAGCTCTAAAAACCAGATTAATATGGATTTCATAGTGTATGACAAGTTTTGGGATTCCTTTCTCTAAATGAAATCAGTCTGATCCTTTCCTGCATAGAAGCTCCTTAATTGTCTTTGGCATAACCCAGTGCCTTCCAAAAATATGTAATAATAAAAACAGTGACTCACAAACCCTTTATGTAGTTTTTAAATACAATTTATTTTTAAAAAGTTAGAAGACTCATGTCCTGATTGAAATAAAAATGACATGAATTGACCCTTTTACTCCAAACCCCTGAGAGACTAACATATGCAAGTAGCGGTGGCAATCGTGCCGGTTGGATCAAAACTCAAAATGATTCAAAATAAAGAACAGGTCATAACCAACCCGACCAAAGTATTTTTGGGTCAACTAACTGGTCATGACCCAATCCATCCAACGTGATCTAACCTCCCCTCCGTTATTTTTCTTCAAAAACTTATAGAAACCCCTACAAATGAAATAACTTCTGTGAGTAGAGTAATTTATAGTGGGTTAACTTCCATATCCCATGTTTTCTTTATGAACTTCAAATTCCCAAATTTCTCTATTCGCTTTTCAGTGGCCAAGATTCTGGAGAATCTCCATTCCTGTAATACTTTTACAATATGTACGAAAATGTATTACAGGCATGCTAAAGATGCATTAGATTTTAATATTTTAAGACTTCAACTGTATATTGTTTTGACCCCCAAGCCGTTAATCTTAGTTCAGACATGAGTATATTTAAGTAATATATGCTCCATTTATGTAACATGAAATTATAAGTTGATGAGGTTTTAATAACGAAATTTATATTTTGTCCTGGTGAATCTAATGATCTTTGTGCCAAATTGTTTCGGTCGCTTAGGAATCCTCCTCCTCTCATATAGAAATGATATGTATCCAAGAAAGCTAAAATATTATTTTCTCTTTTCGAAGTCATTTTATGTGGTTCGTGTTGCATTTTTTTACCCGTTCAGTTACACTTGAGGTATGAGGTTAAGCTTTGGCAGAGTCCAATTTCAACCTCAGACCCGCATATATGAAGTTGATTCTGAGGCGATACAACAACAACTAATCCCACTTAGTGGGGTCTGGGGAGGGTAGTGTGTACGCAGACCTTATCCCTACCCTGGAGTAGAGAGGCTGTTTCCAAATAGAAACTCGACATCCTTCCCTCCAATAACTTCCCACCTTGCTCTTGGGGAGACTCGAACTCACAACCTCTTGGTTGGAAGTGGAGGTTGATCCTGAGGCGAGTAAACTTAAAAACTTTATAAATTTTGGTTATTCTTTAAATAGGGTCCTAAAACGGCTATTGTGCACTTTGCCCAAATTGAACGACCAAGAAAGTCCCTTAGGGCTCAGGGACATCATTACTCCCTACAGTTAGCTCTCGACCCGTTTCAAAATTAAACTGAATAAAGAACGCAATTCCTTCTTATTAATAGAAACATAAAAAAATAAAAAGCAATACTGAGATAGAGGAGGGTGGAACCTGGAGAGCATGCTTGAAACGCCGGTATGCCCTAAGCTGTTTGATAGCTTTTTTGAGGACTGTGTACTCCACGGTTTTCCCTTCGCGAATCCATTGGTTAATTATTGGAGTCATGGACACAGTAGAGGGTGCATACGGTAATAACCTTTGGTACAGATCATCCTCCTCCTTTTGAGCTGCTGAGGAAGAGGCTAGGGTTCCAGAATTGGTACCGTATGACGAAAATCGAAGAACCATAAGAGAAGTAGGGCTGCATTTCGACCATAATAATTTCAGACCAGTAATACTTTGCTGGAGATTCTTCACCATATTACAGGAGAATAGAGAGTGTAAATTTCTCACTGATTACTACTGTTCCGTGTATTTCAAGAGCGAGCAAATGAAAGGAAGACGGATTGGACCCAAAAGAAATGGAATTTGCAGGTCGTATATGCAGAGCTGCTTATTTCTCACATGCTGATTTTGCACGTGAAGGTGCCAAAGGTGGATTCGATCAAATACATTTTCGAGTTAGAGCCAGTTTGGATGGGCTGCAAAATATGGATTTTGGCATTCCTATGTCATATATTAAACTATATTACCCTTCATTCTTAACTTTTAATATAATTACATTTTTATACCATTTATGTATATTTTAGGGGTTTTAAGCTATTAATTAGTCTCTTAATTTAATCCTACCGTATATTCCCACTTCCCCCAAATTTCTCTCTCCAAATTCCACCCCTCACCCACGTATCAAACCACACCCCACGATTTACTCTTCAATCACCCATTATTTCCTCTTCTAAAACCAGCAAAAATCGGTAACCCCTCCACCATTGGCAACCATTAAAAAGCTTTGAAGCTTTGAATTCGAATTTGGGTTATCAAAAGACATTGTTTGTTTGGATTGGATGTTGTTGCAAAGAATTGAGAATTCTCTCTACGTCTCTCTCTATCTCTCAATCCCAAATTTCAGTAATATAAAGCAAAGGAAAAGAGAGCAGCAATTCCACCATTGACAGCCATTAAAAAGCTTTGAAGCTTTGAATTCGAATTTGGATTTTCAAAAATCATTATTTGTTTGGATTGGGTGTTGTTGCAAATAATTGGGAATATGGTTTGGAGTTTACATCTCAATTTTGAGGGGTTTTGGTGAAGATTAGACTTGGTTTTGGGTGAATTTCAGATTGAAACTCGAAGAAGAAGAAGAAGACGACATGACATACATTATATTGCAGAAATTGTAAAAAAATTGTATTCTGTTATATATATATATATATATATATATATATATATATTTCCGGCTATTATTTTAAAAGTGGCTATAAAGAGTCATTCCCAATAAAGACACCCAAAATTCCTGTGTGAAAAAGGAAAAGAATGTTCTCAAAATTCAGAAAGAAAAAAAGAACGAACAAAGTTGCGGTTGTTTCTAGGAGTTAGTTCCAGACAAAAAAGGAACAACCTCCGAGTAATTTTGTATAAAAAAGATAAGGGAAGATCTGGAGAGAAAGGGAGAGAGGAGAAAAAAAAAAAAGGAAAAGGGTGTAACTAAATGGAAATTACCAGCTATGTCCATTTATAGGTAGCTCATTACAAAAATTGGCCAATTGATAAAATATTACTAATATTAGTCAAATTAGCCAATTAGCTATTTGTAGCAAAAAAATCAAAATTTTGCTTTGTTTTGAGTGGGTATTATTAGAATAGATTGGGCACAACTTAAGGAGCTTGAATCTCAGTTTTGGGATGATTTGGTGAAGTTTTGAGGTGGTTTGAATTGAAAATTCGGTAAAAACTGATGAACATGAAAAAATGATATGTGTATCATTTGTGTATGATATGTATCATATTTGTATCTGTTGTGTATCACATGTATATCCATGTATACCTGTGTGTGAGATACATGCATGATACATGTTTGATAAATGTGTCGCAGAAGATTTTTTTGAACTCGATTTAATTACGATTTTGATACAAAACCAATCCAAATCACCTCCAATCTTCCTCAAATTTTGTATATTGACTTATCTATATATTTTCAATGAATTTCAACTATACCCATTGAAAAAGTTCCTTTTTTGTTTAGATTTTTGGAATATTGTATATATTTTTTGTATTTCATCACCTTATTTGCTACCTCATCCATAAAATTTCCTTTCCGTCTTGTATCTAGTGTTGCTAATCACGCTTCAAAATATGGAAGGTGATTTTTGCATGTGATTCTTTGAGAGAAAGAACCCTATTATTTGGTTTTTCAATTTTTATTGACTAGTTTTGGTAAGTTTATGATTAATGGATAGAGGTTGGTAAGTTGAGATTTATTTGGGACATTTGTGTTAGCTTCCCTAACTAAATATCTTGATTGAAGGCACAAATAATGGATTTGGGAGCCTTTTGAGGTGGATTGTATATATTTTGTAAACAAAACTTGTTTATGGCGGGTAATTAGCTAAACATGGACATTAAGGGTAATAAAATTTTAAATAGTGTATAGTAATGAAAAAATCCCTCAGTCAAAATAGCTTTTAAGCCATAAGTTAGGAATTATAGCTTTTGGCTTTTGGCTTGTTTTTGTCATTTTAGCTTAAAAACTAGGGCTTATAAGCACTTTTTTTACTTTAATCAAATACTATAAAATGGCATAAAAACACTTAAAATAAGTTAATCCAGACGAGCACTTAAACTTATAGTACCTAATAATTGGACTTTTTGGGAGTGTCTTAATTATCTTGATTCTTTTTGGAATCAATATAATTTTTTTTTTTCGTAAATTATTTTTAAAATGTCATGTAAGGGATCGTTTTGTATGAGGTATAAGTAAATATAGTGCTGGTATAAAAATTTAATATCACCTTAATACTTTGTTTGGTTAGCAAACCGGGTATAAGTTATCCCGGAATTAAAATTAGTATCGGGATAACTTATGCCTTGTAAGGGGTGGGGTAATTAGTGCCGAGATAACTTATACCTTCTTCTTAGAAATTATGCAATTGTCTTTTTTAATACAACATACCAAACAGTGGATAAAAAATAACAGGATAACTAATCCCAGCATAACTAATCCCAGTATAACTTATTCCAGCATAACTTATCCCAGCATAAGTCGTATTCAAACCAAACGACCCCTAAAAGTTGTATTGCTATTAGATGTGTCAATTATAATGTGTAAGAGTGTAAGACAATAACAAACTTTAATATAACATATAAAGTATATGATATACTTGTAAAGGTAGATTTTGATTTACATGACAGAGGTTAAAAGCAGTGTTTTAAAAGGTGTTCTTGGGGCAAGTTCCGGGGCGAGGTGCACTAAAAATGCCCAGAGGCGATGGTGAGGGCGAAAGTCTTAAAAGACGTACGCCCCAGCAATCGGGGGCATACGCCCGGGCGTTGAGACGTGTTTTTTTTTGTAGTGAGGCGTAAGCCCAAGAGACTTTCAAATTAAAACAAAACTTGCTGAATAAGACCTTAATATAATACCTAAAATTCTTAAAAGTTAACTTGTAATTACTCAAAAGTTTTAAAAAGGAACTTGCATTAAATTTAAAGCCAAGACTTTTTTTTTGTTGCTAGAAGCCTTAATTTATGATCTTTCCCAATTCTTTATCTTTTGCTACTATCACCCAAAAGTAATGAACAATCACTTTTCTTTTGTGCAAATACAAAGAAAACTTCAATCTCCTCCGTAGAAAGAAGTTCAAAAGTTCAAATTGTAGGTTAGTCGTCCCTTTCGTTCCTCCATGTAAAAAACTTTGTTCTTTCCAACTCAAGAAAAGAAGCTAGATAAAGTGAAAATATTTTTTGACACCTAATGTTGAATTATTCATTTTATTCCCAAGTGAGAGTTTATGTAATTATGCCGAACTTTTTAAAGCAAATTTGTGCCTGCAAATAGCGTTTAATGGATTGATTTAACTAGTTTTTTATGGGGATAGAGCACATCTATATATATTTTTTACTTATTTATAGTTTTCTTCAATTCTTGTGCAATTTTACCTACTTAAAAATATATATTGTAATTATATTATTTTATGAAATATTAAAAGTTAGTTATCTATGGGCTTATATATGCTCTGTGCCTCGGGGCTTACGCCTCGCTGAAGCATATGTAAAACACTTCGCCTTGCGCCCCACGCCTTTTAAAACACTGATTACAACAACGCAGGATGTACACTTCCATACCAAAAATACATATTATTCTATTTTAGAGCAGTTAATGGTTGCTATATGACAATTTGCAGTGTAAAAGGCATAAATTACGAAATAAGTTGTGTGTAGCATCATCACTATCATTTGTATCAAAGCATAGACTTGACTTTTGACGCAAATATCACAAAGCTTCTGAAAATTGCGCACCAATTTAGTTTCAATGGTAGTAGAATAGGTTTGAGTGATGTGTATAGCCGTTGTCAACTTGTCATCTGAATCCATCCCATGGTTCGAGGTCAAAATTTTTAATGCTTTGTTATTTTTAAGCATAATATATATAATATATTTTATACATATAATTTATTCATTTTAGTTCAGTATTTTTTTTATTTCTTAGAAAAATAAAAACATGCCCCTATTATTCAGTATGATCATAAATTTATAACGAAATGTATGATTTTACTAAGAAAACTAAAATAATCGATTCGGTGTAAGTTTTGCTTTGGCAGGTCAGTCGATTTTCAAAGAATTATTGACATCTATAGTACGACATAACAGCCAAAGAAATTAGAGAAACCCATGAGAGAATAGCAGAGACAAAAATCATTGAATAATTTATTTTTATCTGCTTAAATTGTGGTGAGCAAATTAAATTAGAGATGTTCCTACAATAGTCATGCTGATCCAGTCTCCTCACATTCTTATGTTTTATCAAGTTCTTCAGACCCATGTTTTACACTTCTAATGCAGATTTCTGCTGAGAAGAGGCCTCGCTCCTCAAGCAATCTTTTAATCTCTTGTTCTCTTTCAGCGTCTCCATTCGACTGCAAGTAATCAACACAGGAAGCCACCAAACTGTAAATGTGTGTCTTCAACCTTGGCTCACATGCCAAGATCGCTTTCTTCAATGCTTCAACTGCCTTCTCCATCTGATCGTGTGAACAATATCCGAGTGCCAGATGATCCCATGTTCTAAAGTTTGGCCTCTTCCCACTCTCCAAGAGTCTTTTTATGATCAATTCAGCCCTTTCCAAATGAGCCTTTCTGCAGTAAATGGCTATGAGCAAATTTGGAATTCTAATGTCAAAATATACATGGTTCGCTTCCCACTCCGCAAATATCTTCTCTGCACCATCAATATCATCTAACTTGAACTGTAGACCTTACCTCTATTCTTTAATTTGTTCCATATACGATAGACATCATTTTTCTTTCCCATGCTAGCATAGACGTACGGAAAGAACGATTTCATTAGCAAGCCTTGCACTTTTCCACTTACTTAGGTGCTCGCACTTTTTCAATACCTTTGAAGCCTTTTCTACATCACCAGCTTTAATGTAACCCTTGGCAGCGACTGCATAAGCATTCCATTCAATCAGTAGAGGATCTACTTCCATTTTCATCAAAAGCTTCTCCATCTCTTTAATATCTGGAACAGATGCATAAGCATTTAAGCGGATAGTATAGGAGAATGCATCACCAGCAATTCCCTTATCTTCCATCTCTAGCACCATGAGTGTAGTTTCTGAAGGTCTCCCATTTTAACATAAAGGTTCATCATAATATTGTATGCCTCTACATTAGCATTCCCCAGATCCCTCATCTTTTGCATTGTACCTTCTGCTTTTCTCAATGATTTTGCATCAGTATAGCAATTCAAAAGAGCGACATACACACAAGAAGCTCTCAGATTTTCTGGGATGCTAAAGAAATACTTCTCTGCTGCTTCCAATCCATGAGCTTTTGATACCAAATACAGTCGGACTGCAACATCTCCAGGTTATAGATAAGGACGCTCGGAGTTGTCAATCCATTCATAAATCTGAGACAAAAATAAGAAGCAGGATATTGAACCTGGAGACAGCACATAAACAAGGGGAAACGCCAAAAAAAAAAAAAGTAGTTTAGCTGGAACTGAGACCAACTTGGCACTTAATTTTAAGTGAGTGTAGCCATGGCTGAGTCAATTCTAGTTATTCAATCACTTGTTGCCTCACAAACCTTTTATGTAGGTTTTCAATACGAAACTCCATTTTAAAAATTAGAAGAATCATGTCTGAATTGAATTTTTCTTTTTTACATGATTTGACCCTCTTATTCGAAATCCCCGAAAGACTAACATATGCTAGAGGTAGCAAATGGCCGATTGGGTCAAAACAGGTTAAATTACAGAACAGGTCATAACCAACTCGTTCAAAGTTTGTTTGAATCAAACAACTGGTCATAACCCAATCCGTCAAACATGACTTAACTCCTCAACTTTTTTTATTTTTTCTCGAGTAAATTCCAAATCCCAAGTTTTAATTTTTGATAGAAAAGGTACCTGGGTCAGTACACTGGATATTCACCTTATCAAGATCTCAAATCAATGATGGGTCTGTTTGGAACCTCCTAAATGGGCGTCCAAATTGGACCGAACTCATTATTAGGCTACGTTCCCTCAAAGTTATGGAGTAAGACATCGATTTCTCAACAAAATCAATTTTGCTGATTGTATGATGAACTCCCTTGAAAAAGATCGTTTTTATGAACTTCCAATTCCCAAGTTTCTCTTTTCAGTGGCGAAGATTATGGAGAATCTCCATTTCTTATAACTCATTTATGACATTGTTCCAACATGCATTAAAGACATTCTAAAGATTAATTAAATTTTTATCTTTTAAGACCTTAAAAGTCTGTTATTTCACCTCAAGCCGTCATTTTTAGTTATATATATATATATATATATA